CCACATCCGACCTTTTTGAAGGTTAAGGCCTTAAGTTCAGCGTTCCCAAAGAGTTCTCTCGCTTCCCTCTCCACTTTGGGGTCGCTCCGCAGCTAAGATACCACTGCGAAGCGCTCTCAGTCTGCCTTTAAGAGCTAAACCAATTACAGGCGGTACCGCCCACAATATTTGAGCAACTACTGTTCGACCATTCGCTCACCGAAATACCTCTAGACAGACATATGGACTTACATATAATCGAAGTGATATCGTGTAGTACTTACCGTATATAATCAATACGATAGATATTTCTCTCGCTTTGACGGCTGCGTCAGGTAGACGGTACACGTATATGGTGCCAGTGGTCACGGAGGCCAGACCAGTAGCGGCGGATATGAACGATGTGATAGCTTGACGTGGCTTCACTGAATATCTCATTAGGGATACAGAATTTCTGATGAGAAAAAAGTTGGGGTCTATTCCAATTAGGGGGACATCATGATGCATTTTTCTCCAGAAAGCTACGGTCTAATCTTGTTCAGTGACTTCTTTGAAGCCATACAATGTTATTAGGTTCGGTAACGCTATTTCTTCAAGTCTATTTTTGTCTGAAAAAGTGGGTCATAGTGGTGCATGATCTGCTCTAATAAACTTGCTCAAGGAGACCTTTAAATAACGGCTGCTGGCGGCTCTATTTCTAGTCATTCCTTTGTGTTTCGGTGCTGAGTGGGTTGGAGGGGGGCACGCGGCGGCGCGGCAGTCGCTAGGCGCTCTCTCGAGCGAGACAGTGTAAACTCGAACATTCCAGCTTTTCACGCATGTCAAGTGACTGCCCTCACCCCCCCCCCCCCCTAGACTGCCTACACTCCCCCTGGCTCACGGGTTTCGTACTTCGGGAAACCCGTGAGCCAGGGGAGTGTAGGCAGTCTAGGGAGGCTGGGGGTAAGGGCAGTCACTTGACATGCGAGCAGAGTACCGCGCCGCCGCGTGGTCCAGCCATTGCGAAAAGATATCACATTCAAATTTAAGAGAGTATTGTCTTTTCTAGAAACTTTATTTGTGTTTCTTGGCATAAGAGGACTTATTGAACAAGTTAGAGTTACCGTAACTTTCTGGAAAAACTGCATCTTGATGTCCCCCCTAACTGGAAAGACCCACGACTTCTTCCTGAGCGTGTTGATTTCTTTTTCTAGGAAACACCACTCCACACCTACTCGCAAACAACACTCCAACTATTGCAATAATAAAAGGCACTCAGCAGAATGGTAGTCATCCAGAGGCGAAGAGGGTTGTCAAACCGTTAGCACGCACCCGCTCACCCGCGTCGCGATGCCGTATGCGACGCCCACCGCGGCCTGTCTGCACGCCTTTCTAGTTTTATGAAGTATTGAAACTTTCTTCTATTGCCTGCATGAACGGGCAGACCAAGACGCATACGGAGGAACGACGCATACTCAGCCTTTAATTACAAGGAAGAAGTGAGAGCCCTATAGAAATAATCCTCAGATAGGAGACTCTGGTGAGCAATATACAATTGGAAGACCGCACCCCCCGGCAACGTTCGAATGTGTAGAGATCACAGTGGTAATACCACGCTGTTTAGCAGAGAGGCTGCCATGACCACCAAATTGAGCGGGTTAGAGGATCGACTCGAATAAGTCATCAACACTCTCGTAAATGATGCTGGTTGAAATTCAATAATATTCAGAAACTGACTCATTTGTTCGAGAATCTTCACAAAATCCGCCACCATATCTTCTTGTGTTCGCTTCTTCCGTTCTAATCGTCGCGTTTCCTCACTGTCATCCACTTCAACTACGGTCATCTGAATTGGAGGAATCGACAAATGATCAACGTTCCAAAACGGTAAAGCTCGCTACTATTGCATGTATAATTGCGTGTCATGTTCTGGTCCTCTTTTTTTTCATATACAGGTAAATTAAATTGAAATCAACAGATGGTAGCAAATGTATCCCTTTAGACATTAAGACTGTGCACCAACTCCCGATTCGGCCGGCCATCACATAATTCAAGCGTTAAGCAAGAGGAGCATACGTCAGCGGATTCAGCAATGCGTCATGAAATTAAATGCTTGAGAAGTCGCCGCATTGTGATGGATTCGAACGAACGCCGATGCGCATTACGACTATAGTTCGCCAAACGCACCATCGATCCTATACAGTAACCAGTTATATTTCTGCTGCAAATTGCCCTGTAAGACAAGAAATGGTGTACTACAACAAGTGCGTATCCAATAGCCAAATAATCATCTTCACATGCTTGGTAGCTATGATTTATTTATTTGCTAAATGCAAATGTTCCTAACGCACCTTGCTCTTCGCTTCATCATCTCCGTTGTTGGGCGGACGTTTCTGAAAATCAATATATCGACTGTGGAAATCTTATTAATAAAAAGCTTACTCTATTATAGATTTCAACTTAATCTTAGTATCTGGCAATTCCGTTTTCCAAGTAGATCTTTGATACGATAGATGCTCATACATTATACGAAGTTATACGATGAATGCTCGAAAGCGCTTTTCACAAAAAAAATTGGTGAGGTTTATGATAAGTGGATTACACGACGGAGGTCAAAGATGAATGTTGAAGATATCCCCCAGCGGCCCAGCAGGGGTGTGCCCGTGCCGTTGCACATTCCAACGATGGTTGACTCCTCGCCCCCTGACCAGGGTGAATAACGGTCGAGGAATTCCTCGACCATGCTCTCTACTGTGCGAGAGTAGTGCCGAGAGTGAATGTACGCGCGGAGAGCACAGACGGCTCGCGGGTGGCGAGAGTGAATGTCCGCGCGGAGAACGTAAAGGATCAGGCGAAAATCCTCGACGTGCCGTTGAGGAATCCTCAAGCAATATTCACCCTGCCCCTGACTCTAGCCATTCCAGCGGGAGAGCATTAGCGTTAATGAGGTCAACATCAACCAATAAGACTAGCCTAACGCGTAAATTAACGAGCGGAGTTAGGTCTCCTTTACGCGGATTCTAGGCCGTTTTTCTTATTTTTTCTTCTTCCCTGCATCACTGATCACCCCTGTCTTGATTTCTAATGAGCTGTTTTAGCGGGGAAAATGGAAATAGGGACCTTTATCGTGGAGGGTTGACATAGTTGCGAGAGAGGCAGTCCAATAAACAATGAGCGTCGACGTGAGTGACCGTAGAGTGAATCGGCGGACATCGTGCCATTGAATCGTGAGCAAGAGTCGGCGGCCGTCATGGCAAGGCGTTAATGTTTTCGACGACCATTGTGAAGCAGCTTCCACCATTGTGAGTAGTTCTATACACCCCAGAAAAGAGAATAAGCCGTTCATATTCAAGGTAGGAAACGCATATAATCTCGCTTTTTATTGCCCATAATCGTCCACAACCGCTTGTAAGCGCATTGGAAGGGAGGGGAGAAAATCTTCCTTGGCCTCGGCACGTTTTGCCCTTGTTAAAAGGTCTCCTTATTGGATGAACTCCGACTGAAGCTCAAAGATGCTGTGACAAAGCCTGCTTTACGTTCGGGTTCGAGAGTTCTCAGTCGATATTACTCCAGAAAACATTATCATGAGCTCCTAGTGCCAACTATGCCCTGGGTATGGGCTAAAGGTCTACTTTGCGGGTATGGGCGAGCCAAAATTCGATTCCCAATTGGCCAGCATTCGAGATGTGGTAAGTGGGGACTTATACGCATACATTTGAGAAGGTATTTTGAATCTGAAGGTATGATGGCTGCACCGCACTGTGCACGCTTTCTAGCAAAGGTAGACCACCACAGTGGGCTGCTTGGTGTCACACCTCTTACACCAATTTTTCAAGTCAAAGTCTTTTTGTAAGGGTTACTGACGGTCCTAATCATGAATATGGTACTAATTATTCATGCTAACTCCATTTTGCGCGAATTTTGGAACGTCAACTCGAAATGCAAAAATTTGTCACCACGAGGAATCGAACTAGGGACCCCTTTTCTGGTATTCAGAGGGCCGTTCAGGAAAAATTAACCATGGTTCTGTGGTTCCCGCATGTGCCCCTATATCATGCAAAAGACCGTTTTCAAAAAGCTTGGCACGCCCTGAAAGACCTTCCTGGTTAGGGACCCTGCTGTGAAAGTGCTTTCATCAGCGGGAAGTGCTTGTAACGGAAGACCAATTCAGACGCACGTCCTATGCGTCATCAAGACACTGTAAAAAAAAGCAACGAACACAGGCATCGTCATTTGAAGACAAATGCAGGAATCTGTTCTAATGGAAGGTGAGCCCATTAACTGGCTCCATGCATGGACTCGGAGCGGAAGTGGTGTAGTG